CCGATTTCTGACTACATTCATTACTGGTAGCATTTATCAGCTCATCCTTGCTCTAGCTGTGTAGATATGAACTTACCCCCAACAGGCAAGTTCGTCGCGGCAAAGCCGCATCAACATCAAAAATTTCCTCTGGTTCAGATCTGCACTCCACTGCAGGATCAATCTCTTCTACTTCCATCCCAGATTCCATCACATTAATCATCGGATTAAGCGTTTCAGCGATCTGATCAGATCCCGTCTCACACAGACCTTGCATCTCACCTTCCCGATCCTGAGTAACAGCATTGTCTTCCACTTCCATCAACGCTTCACCAGCTTGGAACGTCGGATTGTGAATTAGCTTCACATCCTCACTCGCCTTAACAGCAGGAACATTGCATCCCTTCACTGACTGCTGCATCATTTTGGATTCCAGGCTGCGAGGCTTTGCCTCCCACCTTCCCTCCAAAGCTCCATCAGATCCAGATCTACCAGCATCACGAGATTTCCCTTTACCCTTATCCATCACAATTTTTCCAGGAGATCGATCTCCAGATTTCTTCGCGCCTCCAGATCCTACTCCCGATCGCCTTCTCTCATCGCCGCCAGATCCTACTCCCGATCATCTTCTGTCGTCACCACTGCCCCCGCTTGAGCGGGGGGAGACCTTCGGTCACCCCCGCCATACCCAGAGATTCTCTCACTACAAATCGCCAAGAGAGAGAAACAGTTAGGCGGAAATGATGCGCTAAGAGAGAGAGAGGAATGAGAGAGAGAGAATGAGTGAGAGAGAGAGCAAGAGAGAGAGAGTGTGTGTGTGAGCAAAAGAGAAAGAGAGCTAGGGGGAGGGAGTGAGAGAGAGGGAGCTGAACTTCTGCATATTGCATTAATGAGAAAATCAAACTAGTTACATGTAAAAAAACAACTATGCAACTATACCCTATCACTCTCCTCCCTCAACAACGACAATAGTGTTGGGGGGAACTCCTCATTATTAACATTAAAAAACTTAAAACTATCATTAATTGCTAATTCAGCACAGTAGTCAGTCGGCCGATTTCTCTCCCTGTTTATGTACTGAAAAAGAACTTGTTTAAACCTCATCAAGAAGGATAGATCCGGTCCTTCAAAACTGAAATGAACTCTGTTGTGATGATCATCAAGGTTCTGCATCCACTTTATAGCATTGATATTGTCCCCTTCAATTATGATCCCTTCCACCTCCCACATCCAATCTTCTAAAACATCACGGATGGCAGCAGCCGCCATTACCTCAGCATGAAGAGCATCCCAGTGCTCAATCCCTTTACCAGTCGCAACAATCAGAGCTCCTGTATAGTTCCGAATAATAATCCCAATACCAGCCTGATTTGACGGTTTAAGAGCTGCATCCACATTAAATTTCAACCAACCTGGAGGGGGGGCACCATTGTTTATGAGAAGGCAGCCCAATAGGCTGATTAGTGCTCCATTGCTCCAATATTGGTGAACTGTATGGTCTCGGCAACATTGTCAGCACCGTCGCTGCTATAATGGTTGAGGATCTACGCATACCATCATGCTTCATCTCATTCCTTGTACGCCAAACTTGATAGACAGCATAACAACAAATACGGCCCAAGCTTGGATTACAGTCAGCGTTAGAAGCCATCTCCTCAATAAGCTCATTCAGTGAGTTAACACATGGCATTATCATCCCCCACTTGGACAGGACGCTAAACACCTCCTTGATTTTCATACACTGAGCAGCACAGTGATCACGGGTCTCCTCCCCACTACACCCCCACGGACAGAGGGATGACGTCGAGAGACCCCTACGAGACAGCCATAAATTAGTAGGAATAGCATCCCTAAGAAGACGCCACCAGAAGAAGCTTTCACTTGGGTGTATTTTCAGTTTATTCATCCATCTGTATTGATATTCAGTTCCTCCATACTTAGCTCTGTATGCCATAGCAGTTATCATCAAATTCATCCGAGAATGGATGAGTTCAGCACAGTCAATTCCATTTCCACCTCCCGTGTTGATGGACATAACCCTTTCTGCCATACTCTTCCCAAAATACTTCTCTACCTCTTCCTCTTTCCACTGAAAGGAATCATTAAGGAGCATACTCACCTTGACATTCTCCACTTCATGAACATTAACAAAAGTGGGCCATGAAGCAATTTTCCGATCCAGAATCCAGCAATCCTGCAGCATATCAATACATTGTCCATTGTCATTCTTCCATCTAATAATGGGTCTAAGAGCTTTAGCTCCATCATGAATCACCTTCCAAGTAATAGAAGGTTTCCAAATCTGAGTATCACTCCATAATTCCATCCCATACTTATCCCTTATTAGCTTGTGCAGGATAGAATTCGAGTCCTTCGAACCTCCCAAGCTAGTCGAGCACGCAGAGGACCTTGCCAAGTAGTTAGTCCCAGAAACCCCAGCCCTCCATACTCCTTAGGTTGGCACAACTCCTTCCACTTCACATAATGCAATCCACTACTGTTGGAATCCTTCTACCACAGGAATTGCCTCCCAAATTTCTCAATAGAATTGAGAACACCATTCGGGATTGCAGTATGTGTCATTAAGTACATGGGGATGGTTAACAAAGAAGTCCCGATAAATAAAGCACGGCCTGCCAACGATAAATGCTTCTTCCCCCAAATATTCGTCTTCTCATGAGCTCTCTTAAAGACATTAGAGAAATCATCACCCACCAATCTCTTCATAACAAGGGGCAGCCCCAAGTATTCTAGGGAACTCACCTTCCTGTATCCCATAAGCCGAGCAATCATCCTTTTCTTCCAACTTAGACATTTCTTATTAAAAAGCACAGCTGACTTCTCCCTATTTATATTCTGCTCAGTCCACCCGCAGTAATCCTGTAAAATTTCCATAACCTCAAGAGCATTCCTCCTGTTGGCTTCAGCAAACACCAAGATATCGTCAGCATATAACAGGTGTGAAATTCTATCAGCATTCTTGACAATAGAAATTCCAAGTTGTCCTCCTCTTTGCCTCAAAGCCTTAGTCAAAAGATCAGAGCATAGAATAAATAAATACGGGGACAAAGGGCATCCCTGCCTTAGACCGCTCCTGGCATAAATCCATGGTGTGAGATTACCATTAATCAGGAGAGAAAATTGTGGTCTAATAATACACTGCATCACCCAAAGAATAAAACGAGCAGAAAAACCCATCATCGTCATCACCATTTGCAATGTATCCCATGACATACAATCATACGCCTGCTCCATATCTACCTTCATAGCCATCATTCCACTCTTCTGAGAAGAATAACGGAACTTGCACATCATCTCTTGAGCAATAAGTCCATGACTGGAAATGGACCTCCCCGGAACAAAGGCACCTTGTTCCTTGCTAATAATATCTCCCAACACAGGTTTAAGCCGGTTGATGAGAATTTTTGTTACCACCTTGTAAAAGGATTGGCAAAGGCTAATAGGCCGAAACTTGGCCGGTGAACTGGCATTGTCTGTCTTTGGAATTAACACAACCAAAGTATCCTTCCAACTTTCACACATGGAGTTAGTGCAAAAGAAATGTGTAATCGCAGAATTGACATCACATTTAACAATTTCCCAATAAAATTTTAGGAAGGAAGATGTAATACCGTCAATTCCTGGAGCTCGATTATTCCCCATGCCAAAAACAGCTTGTCGTATCTCCTGCTCCGTTATTTCAGCCTCAAGGATTGTCTTCGCCTGATCAGGGATCATGTCCTCCTCCTGAAAATTCGGCCAGTTAACAAGAGAGACCTGTCTTTCCCTCCATTTAAGCATGAAGAAATTTAAGAATTCCTCTTGGATTAGCACAGGATCAGAGATACTCTCCCCATTCAAATTCTGGATCTCCAAAATGCGGTTTCCCCTCCTTCGCGCCGAGGCAAATGAATGGAAGAAATGTGAATTAGCATCTCCTTCTTCAATCCATTTATTCTTCGCCCGTTGCCTCCACCAAGTTGCAATGCGGGCTAACGTGGTATTCAACTCAGCAGCCTTTCTCCGCATCTCCTCTTCCTGGCTTTCATTTAACCCGTCACCAGAGCACTCTAGCATTTGAAGTTCCTCCAATCTTCCCTCCATAGAAGACTTCAATTCACTCAATTCCTTCAACCGGTTACGGCTCCAAAAAAATAGAGCTCTTATCGTCCTAGAGCACTTACGATTTAATACCTCATTCGGTTGCCCATAATCTGTTTTGCTCAAATTTTTCCAAACAAGCTTCCAAGTAGCCGGGTAAGTCTTCCAGATGTCCTCAAACCGCAACCATCTAGTCCCAGGTCTCACAATGGTAGCCGCAAGATTCACCAGTAACGGACAATGGTCCGAAGCAATACGAACAAGGTGCCTTACTGTGGCCAAGGGGGCCAGCCGAAGTCCTTCAGAGTTCATCAAAACCCTGTCCAATCTCACCCATATTTTACTATTACCAGCTTTGTTATTCGACCAAGTGAACTTTGGCCCCAGAAATCCCATGTCATGTAGATCATTATCAATAAGAAGTGCAGCCATCTCCTGTGCTCCAGCCGAGTAGCTATACCTTCTACCACCTTTCTTCTCGCTATGATCCAAACAACAGTTAAAATCTTCCCCCACAATAACAGGGAGATCACCATCAATATTGTTTCCAATAGACATCCACAGATTCCGCCTAATATGATAGCTTTTATTGACATATACAATAGCCACCACCCATTTCTGAGCATTGGGCAACATTAAATGACCAAGGATCACCTGATCTGTGGTTGTAATAACTTCAAATTGAACAACATCCCTTCTCCATAAAGCTAGTAGGCCACCAGACCTTCCCACTGCCGGGTGGTGAAAGAACTCCCATCCATTACCAATGAGCCTATTCACCTCAATTATGGTAATATCCTCCATCATGGTTTCAACCAAACCAACAAAAACTGTCTCATTACTTCCAATGAGACTGCGCAAGTAGTGACCCGTTTGCTTTTTTCGGGCACCCCTGCAGTTCCATATCAGGATAGACAGCATTAAAAAACAACTGGGGAAGCGTCCTCGCCGCTAGAATCAATAGGAGAATCCTCCCCACCATTAGTGATATATGTCATTTCCATCCTCCTTTTCCTTGAGAACTCCGTGATAGGTCCCAATTTACTAAGTTCTTTCATAAACTTAAATCGATTGGTTTTTGGCAAGGGAGATGGCATACCTGCCGTGAAGAGTAAAGGTTTCTTAAACCCCATCCTGTTCTGCTTATGAGTGGGTCTCAAAGTGCTCTGAGGAGCTTCAACCTTCCCCAAATCAACTTGTTTGGGATTACTCTGTAACTGTCTATTGTTGTTACCAACAAAATTCCTCCCAGAAGGTTGCGCACTCCTTCTTCGTCGAGGGGGAACCTGAATCCACGGTCCCATCTCATCATCATTCTCCTGATCACATTCCTTCCCAATGGAAGTTCCGGCAATAGCTCCCTGCTTAACATCCTTCTCTCCTTCCACAATTCTGCTGTCTCCCCCCATACTATGTCCACCTCCTTCAATTTTGATCACAGGATGAGTAACTATCCTGGTTTGCACCTTCTCAACTCGCTCAATCCTTCCTGAGGACTGCTCAGAGTTCTTCACCATCGGCTCACTCTGTTTCAACTGCTCTCCTGCTTTCCTCGTCCCAGCATCCCCTTGACCACCATCTTTCAAAGGACAATGATCTCTCCGATGGCCAATTTTATCACAGCCGAAGCACATAATGCCAATGCCTTCGTATTCCACCTTCTGATAGAACCTCCCGTTCCATCCATTGACCCACACTCCCGCCTGGAGTTTATTTTCCAAATTCATCCGCACACATACCCGAGCATACTCTCTTCTTCCCCAGTTTGCTGTCAATGCATCAATCCATAAAGGAGTACCGATCTTTGTGGCGATCCGAGCAATGTTGCATTCATCCCAATATTGCAATGGGAGATTGGGTAATCGTATCCAAACCGGGGACGACAGTCCCTCCATAGAAGCTAGGAAGAAATTATGTGTCCACCTATCCAATCCCACCAGATTACCACTGATAAACCAGGGGCCGCCCCTTAACACTTCATTTCTAGCTTCCACCGAAGTAAAAATGCAGATAAAGTAATCCGCACCCAAAGAGGTGAGCTGAAACTCCCCAAACCTTCCCCATTACCGTTGGATCTCAGATTTCAACAAGAAGAATGAAGCTCTTCTACCCAGAATCTTCCCCACCACAGCTCGATCAAGCATCTCCATGTTAGCCTTGACTCTGTCCAGGTTTAGATCAATGGAGATCCTGTCTCCTGAAATGGCATTGATATCTTCTGGATGCAGGATCGGGACATGATCCGGCTTCTTCCACGGATTTCCCATACTAGCCGCAAATGAAACTCTCAGGTCACCCCCTTCCCAAGGCTCTCGCCGCGGTTCCCACTTGATTGTCCAACATCAGCATTCCCACAAGCATCTGAAGTGCATCCAATTGGCTTGCTAAAACCAGAGGAGCATCTCCCTGCTCTGATCACACCTGCAACATCTTTTACAGCTACCTCCATTTCTGTCATCGCCATTACTTCCTCCACAGATGCATCGTTCAACACCTTATTACTCCAATCAACTACATCCGCACTTACCTCCAATGGACATTTCCGTCCCGGCATTGCAGCATTCACGTCAAATGTTTCTTCCATTGCTTCTCTGCTATCCTCGATCAGAGCTGTGTCTTCTACCTCCATAGGAGAGGCCGACGCAATGAACATCGGGTTGAGCTTCATACTCACACCCGATTTCGATTCCAGCTCCATCGCTTCCCTCGGAGTAGGATCCTCCCTCCTAGCTCCATCAGCTTTGTTCTGGTCCGATCCAGTCTTCCCGATCTGTAGAATCCCTTTGGGATCCATATTTCTCAGTTTCACCTCCCATCGACCTTCCACCGATCCCTCCGATCCAGATTTAGCTGCTTCCCGAGCTTTCCCTCTCGTCTTAGCCATCATGCGTTTGCTGGGAGATCCAGCTCCCGATCGATCGCCTTGCTTCTTCGAACTACCAGAACCCACTCCCGATCGTCGTCGCTCTTCACCACCAGTCGAACCGTCACCACCGCCCCCGCTTGAGCGGGGGGGGAGACCTTTGGTCGCCCCCTGCCATCCCCATAGCTTCTCTCACTACAAATCGCCTAGAGAGAGAAAAATTCAGGCAAAAATGACGCTAGAGAGAGAGAGATATTGAGAGAGAGGGAGAGAGAGAGATAGAGAGAGAGTGAGTGAGAGAGAGAGTGAGAGAGTTAAAGCTAGAGAGACAGATAGTGAAAGCGAGAGTGAGAATGAGAGAGAGAGAGAGAGAATGAGTGAGTGAGAGAGGAAGAGAGAGTGTATGTGTGTGTTTAAGAGAGAGAGAGAGAGAGAGCTAGGGGGAGGGAGGGAGAGAGAGAGAGGGAGAGAGAGAGACAGAGAGAGAGGGTGTGAGAGAGAGAGAGGGAGAGGGAGGGAGGAACTTTTATTAGGTTAGGTCACCAGACGTAGAGCTACGTTCGGTAACCCCTATTATAGCACCACATAGCAGCCCGGAAACCCTACCCAAACCCGTAGTGATTTGTTGATTGGTCATGTGTTTTACACCATTTCGGGTCGCCCCGACGCACTTTATCTTAAATGGGTGGGAAAAAAGTTAAAAACCCGCACCTTCTTTAAATGTTAAGCCGATTATGGTTTGAAAGTGTTATCTAGTGTTTAGGGTTTACATCACGAAGAGGATGTTTTCGCGTAGGGTTCAAGGACATGGAAGAGAAGACAATGGTTGTTTCTTTGGAATATTCAGACAATTTCGATGAAACCTTTGGCTCTTATAATGTCGATGAAGATTTTTCTGATTTTATACAAGTAATTTCTTATATATGCAGAGGTTTTATAATATTAATTTTTAAAATCTAGCTACATATTATCATTTCTTTATGTTTATCCATGTGTACCATATTCGTACCGAGAGAGAAGGTTGGAGTATTGATTGGTATACATATGGTAGTGTTCGGTACTTATAGGTATTGCTCAGTATGCTCTTTTTTTGTTTGTTTGCGTCAATAATGTCTATCTTGTACTGAGCTTATTGATAAGTACCATATGTGTATCGAGATAAAAAATTTTCTATATAAGTCGGTATAAATCGGTGCTGCTCGATATTTATATGTTCCTTGTATCGAGCTTATTGATAAGTACCATATGTTTACCGAGATAAAAAAGTTTCTATATAAGTCGGTATAAATTGGTACTGCTCGGTATTTATAGGTTCCTTATACTGATCTTATTGATAAGTTCCATATGTGTACCGAGATAAAAAAGTTTTTATATAAGTCGGTATAAATTGGTACTGCTCGGTATTTATAGGTTCCTTGTACCGAGCCTACATAACTCGGTATAAATAGGTACTAATCGATATTTATAGGTTCCTTGTATCGAGCTTATAGATAAGTACCATATGCGTACCGAGACAAAAAAGTTTTTATATAAGTTGGTATAAATCAGTATTGCTCGGTATTTATAGGTTCATTGTACCGATCCTACATAACTCGGTATAAATAGGTATTGATAGGTATTTATAGGTTCATTATACAGAGCCTACAGAACTTAGTATAAATAGGTACTGATCGGTATTTATAGGTTCCTTATATCGAGCTTATAGATAAGTATTATATGTATTTATAGGTTCATTATACTGAGCCTATATAACTCAGTATAAATAGGTACTGATTGGCATTTATAGGTTCATTGTACCGAGCTTATAGATAAATACCATATGTATTTATAGGTTCGTTGTACCGAACCTACATAACTCGATATAAATTTGTACTTCTCGGTATTTATAGGTATTACTGGGTATGATCCTTTTTTATGTTTGTTTACATCAATTATGTCTACCTTATACCAAGCTTATAGATAAGTACCATAAGTGTACCGAGAAATAAGTTTCATCAAAACTCGATATTGCTTTGTATGAAGTTATTGCGGTATTGCTCAGAATTAATAGCTTGGTCCAATAATATATAAAATTATAAATTATTTTTGCATAGGGGGTTTACAACTCTGAAAAGGAAGCATATGATAAATATTGCCAATATGCGCATTCTAATGGTTTTAGTGTTCAGAAAGAACATCATTCATTCTGGTCAAATTCAAGGAAAATAAAATCAAAGGATTTTGTTTATTCCAAAGCTGGATTCAAGAAGGAGGCAGAAAAAAATAAGAAGGTCAAATTTTAAAAATTGACTATAAGAACTAGATATGCAGCTATGGATAGATTTGGGGTCAGTGAAGATAAAATTTGGATAGTGAAAAGATCGGTAGAGAGTCACAATCACGAATTGAATAAACCGGATGATCAACATTTGCTAAGATCATCTAGACACATCAGCAATTAAAATGCCTCCGTTCTGAAATCAATGTCTGAACCTGTCATAAGAACAGTTAATGCATTTTCCTATCTATCTGATAAGGTGGTAGGTGTGGGAAATATGGGATTCACAAAGAGGGATGCATAACTACATTTAGAAGGAGAAAAGAGCTAAAATTGAGAATGGAGACACCAATTCACTAATCAAATTGTTTAAAATACTGGGCAGCTACAAACAACATGTTTGCATGGGATGTGCAAATTGATGAAGAAGATAGGTTGGTAAATCTTTTTTGGGTTGATGAGTTGGGGACAATTGATTTTGACTGCTTTGGGGATGTCATAATTTTTGGTACAAGCTACCATCTTAACAAATATAATTTAGCCTGTGCCCCTATTATTAGAGTTAATAATCATTGGCAAAATATTATATTCAGGGTGTCATTTCTATCTGACGAAACAATTGATACTTTTTCCTGGCTATTTTGAACATTTTTAAGAAATATGGATAGCAAATATCCAGTTACTATATTCACTGATCAAGATCAAGCAATGACTCAGGCGATAGAGATTGTTATAAACACTTGGCATCTATTAAAACACTTGGAACCTAGTATATGGCATAGGTTGTGCCAACGGCATATATACAAGAAGGCTCATTCCAAAGTATGGTGTTTTAATAGTAACAATAAAAGTAAAAGGCATATTTTATAGTTGCTTCAACAAGTGTGATTCTGAGGAGGAGTTTGATTATTTGTGGAATAAAATGATAAGAGAAGGGGACCTCCAGAGTCATCAGTGGCTATAATATCTATACAGAATAAGAGAGAAGTGGTCAAAAACATTCAACAAAAATTATTTTAACCTTAGTATTTTATCTACACAACATAGTGAGTCCACCAATTATGTTTTCTAGGGCATTTCAAAGGCTACAAGTTATCACTGAATATTTTCTAGGGTTGGAGAAAGTTATAAACACTTGGCATTGAAATGAACGAGATAAAAATTTTAGATGTAGTCAAACAGAAAAACAACCTTACATGAAAAGTAGTCCAATATTAAAGCAAGCCGCCAACTTTTATTCCAAAAAGTTATATTCATTTTTTGAAGATGAGTTCTTACATGGTGTAGGTAGACTATGCATTGATCATTCTTCACGGACTCATCAACATTTTCTGTCAAGAACATAGACCACTCTTTTGATTCACACAAGTGGACTATTATGTTTAATTCTTCTGAATAAATTATACAATGCAGCTGCGTAAAGTTTGAGATGATGGGTTTATTATGTTTTAATTGCATGAGAGTTATGAGGCAGTTGGATATTATCAATATTCCACAAAAATATTTTATTCCAAGATGGTCATCTAGAGCTTGGAAAGATTTATATATTGGACGAAAGATCCTACCTATGGGAAATAATACATGCACATCGATTCAGGGTTACCGTAACATGATTTTTAAAAATTATATTTGCCGATTTGCATATCAAATTAGCACAGAAGCACAGGGTAATGAGGATGCAGAATAATATATGATCGATGCTATGAGTGCAATGGCTTTAAATTTTCAAAATATTATGGAAGGGAAAAAATAAACGCATACCTGAGGGGAGCCACAAAACAATTAAAGATCCCGCGAAGTGCCAACCGAAAGGAATCTCTAATGCTAGCTTAAAGGATCATTGGGAGAAGAGGAAGAGCAAAAAAGTGAAACCCACATAGAGGAATCCTCCAACAAGCATACATTTTACACCATAAGATACAGCAAGTCAGTCATCCTTTATGTAACTATTCAATAAAACTTGGTATAACTCGGTATTATTAGGTATTACTCGATATTAACCATTTTTTTTGTTTAATTGAGAAATTTTTTACACTATGGTTCAATTATAAGTTGAACTTCATCTAAAGTAAGCATCTTTTGCATTTTTCTAAAACAAATCTGGAATTTTTAAATTACTCGGTATAAGCAGGTATTATTCGGTATTA